TATTTTTTCTTCCATCCACCCACCACCGAATCCTGTATTGACAGCGCGTTCTCCGGGAAAGAAACTATATACAGTGCGAGGGAACGAACTTCTTTTTATTAATATCACTCGGGGTCGCGGATTACGTCGTACTTAACTGACTGGCCCGGAGACACGTTACAGCTATTTACATTTTATTGTATCATTTTTCAAGTCAATGCGCAATCAATAAAGTTATTGACTTTAAACTGATCGACAAATATAATATTTTCATCGCCAAAACGCGGTTTGTCTCCGGTTTGAGTGTCCGCCCCCCTACTGGTTCATAGGTGTACTTTTTCTTCGCTTACCCTGGTTACCGACAACGAACGAACGAACGAACGCACGCACGCACGCACGCGCACACACACACACACACACACATACACACACACACACACACACACACCGCACGCACACACACACACACACACACACACACACACACACACACATACAGGTGTCCCATGAATTGTGGAGCCACCATTGAATTAACTTTTAATATAGTTGAATTAACTTTTAATATAGTTGCGATATGAACTCATTAAAACGCGTTCCTATATAGGGTTGCGTTTTAATTGGAGTTTAATTAAACTCAATTACAATACAATACAATGGAGAATTGCACTTTAATTAAGTTTAATTAAACTAGAGTTGAATATCCCGTGACTGAACATAGAAATATAACATAGACGTTATATTAATATTAATATAATTATACCATACCTTACTCCAATACTAAACCTAAGCTTCGCAAACTTGACTTAAATTTGATTAAATATTAATATAAATTATGAAACATTGTGAGTCCCCATGTTTGAGGCTCCACCTGTACAAAAGGCTGCACTTTGTTGGTGTGTTGGCTCCACTTCTACTGCTATACACACACACACACACATTGCAATACTTCTTCATATTCAATTGGTCTTAAAATAAAAGACCACAATACTAATGGAATTCAGGGTTAACACAATGTGTCTTATTGTTTTCAGTTTCTTGATGTAGAACTTGTGGATCCTAGAGGAAGAACAGCTCTACATTTAGCAGTGGCTCTGGGTCACTTGGAAAGTACGCGTGTACTACTCAGACACAAAGCTATTGTGAATGTGGAAAATAAACAAGGATGGACAGGTACATATTCATTGCCCACAATACTCTTGTGCATACGTGTGTACCTCCAAGTACTAGTAACACATGTGGTCATACACGTATGAGGGCGCTGTTGAGAGGGAAGGAAATTATGGTGGATTGGAGAATAGAAATGGGCTGTCATTGGGACTGACGGTGATTTGGCTTCTTTGGGTAATAGAAAAAAAATGAGATTTTCTGAATGGGAGAACTAGAAAAATGGGACTGCAGTTAGAGGGAGAGGTGAAGAATGCTTTTATAGAATAGAGCGAGAAAGAAAGTGCTGGAAATTATAAGGGGAATGTTTTTTATAGAGAATAGAATAGAATATGAATTCTATATAGTTGTTCTTTAGACGTATTTTATAATTGTAAGAATGCTAGATGCATTGGTTACAAATTACTGACATGAATCCTACCATAAATAATCATGTACTGTGAAATATACTGCTAACCCAGCTACTATACAAGTCCCGTTTGATTTAGGTGTGTAATAACATTTAATACTATATTTTAAAACTAGTTACGGCAAATTGAATAAAGATTTTTAAAACACAGTTACACCCATATCTTGTAAACATAACCAACTTTTTCAGGTTTTGACTTTTTTTAATTATACATACAATATTTATTTTAGTGTAATTGTCTTGTTCACACTTTCTGTAATTTTCACTGATTTCACTCTTAATTCTTTTACAAAACAGACAAAATGTGGCATTCCTTCTAGTTTTTTACCAACAATTACGACCCAAAATTGCTAAAAGAATTAATAATTTGACTTTATTGAATTCATAACAAAACTGACATGAGATAATATATTTTTGAATTATGCAGGCAGATCTTATTGATTTCCCATATTAATTGTGACTTAAAGTTTCCATGGCAACCACTAATTTAAGAAAGTACTATTGTCAATGCATTCATCTACCAGTAGTTACAATGCCTAGAAGACATTTAACATTTAGGAAATCGTATTCTTAATTAATGTGCCAGATTTTATATGATACATGGCAACCTGAATTAAGGTAGCGGGACTATTATTTGCATACTTG